AGCAATGCGTAAATGTGACTGAAGAGCTAACATTGGATGGCCGGCTGTGTCTTTCTCTGCCTCCCGTCTCTTGCCTCCCTTTCAAAGCCGGTAGTTCTGGCCGTGATGAACTGGCCAAGCTCCTTGTTTTGTTTCAGACCTGGCCTTTTCTTTTCATCCGGGGATGCTGGGGACACCTGACAGAGCAGGCAGAAGCAAGGGAACCAGAGAAGCCACATATCATTGCTTTCTCAGCTTGCCAGAGGAGCCTCGTGGGTGAAGTGCATCCTCAGGCTTGGCACAGAGCACCAAAAGTCCTTTCCCCCTTCACTGCAGGTCACTGGTGTCTATTTTAGTATACGTGGGTCAGCTTCTGATATCCTTCTGGCTGCCATTAGAACAGGTCTTCGGTTACTGCAATCTGGGACGTCTGGAGGTGGGAGGAGGAGCTGTTATTGTACAGGCTTCCCGCCCAGGTTCCTGCGGTCAGAGGAGCTTCCTTTTTAGGAGTGGTTTTGGTGGCTGTGGTCCCTGGGGCCCGGGCGGGGGCAATAGGAAGGCTGCACCAGCTAGCAAGTGTGAAGGTTTGCCTGTCATTCCTTCCTGGATAACTGCACTTGAGCTCTTATTCTAAAACAGTAGTACAACCAGCATGGCTGGGAATGTTGGGAGTTGTAGTCTAGCATATCTTGGAGGGCATCAGGTTGGCGAAGGCTGTTGGAAGATGATGATAAGCTGGTTTTAAGCCCCCACCCCCGATGTGTTGGACTGCAACTCCCATCATTCAGTTATGGCTCAACACATCTGGAGGACCTGAATGAATAGGAATAAGAGCCTTGGCTGAAAAATTGCCGGCGGTGCAGCCTCCAGTTCTGGCAACTGGCCAAGAGGATGATAATCTTCTGGCTGAGTGACAACCCAAGTCTCTTCCAAGGCCTTGGGGCTGTGAGAACACTAATGAAGAGGAGGGCAGATTTAACCGTTTGCAGAGCTGCTTGCTCTGTTTGGATAGGTGAGCGGATGGCGGGCTTGGTGGTGGGGAAGAATTTGAGTGCGATGTGTTATCGGGGGAGCATACACAGAAACCCACAGGTGAGACAAGGTTCACTGCCACGTCCATCCCTTGCTGCGGAATTCTGAACTGTAGGGCCTTATGCTTTCAGCCTTCCACTTGAGGCATAGCAGGAGATTCCCTCGGAAGGTGGTTATTTGAAGGAGTGGCTACACCATGCGTAGTTCAAGATCATCTAGGTGGGGCCATCATCGAGAAGACCCTGCTTGCTGGCTCATTGCAAAGGTGGATAGGTATTGGAGGGAGAGAGGACATTTTTAGCAGTGGCTAATGAGGGGGCCATGGCTGCCTCCATCTGGCTGCTGCTGCTGATTACTAAATTGCATTTATACCCCTCTTCTTTCCTTTTTGAGGTAGGTCAGGTGGAGGGTGAGTTTGCTGGCCCAAAGTCACCCACTGAGCTTCATCGCCAAGTGGGGACTAGAACCCAAATCTCTGAGGTCCCCAAGCCCAACACGCTAACCATCCTACCACACTGACTTGCAAGAGGTTAAGACAGTTTTAAAAACTCATCTGTTCTCCTTGGCTTTTAATTGAAAACATTTAGGTTGTCCGCTGTTGACAGGCACTTTGAAATTGCATTTGATTGAAAACTCTTCTAAATTTATACTGTTTCGGATATATTCTACTTTTTTCTTGTATGCTGCTTTGAGTTTTTTTATATCCCCTTCCTCCTCCTCACAATCTTACCCATGCAAACAGCCCTTTGAGGTAGGTTGAGCTGAGAGTCTGAGAGAGACTGGCCCAAAGTCATTCCGTTGGCTCCATGGCTGGGCGGGAACTAGAACTCCTGAGCCCAAGTCTTGTGCCGTTACCTATTACACCATACATTTGGATTGACTTTAAGCTGTAAGCCTCTTTGGGAAAACTGTGGTTGGAAAGCCAGCCACGAAATGGACTAAATAAATAGAGACCCTGATATCTGTTGCACTGGGATCCTGTAGACATCTGCTTGGAGGAGAGTCCTGTTAAGTTCAGTGAGTCTTGCTTGTAGATAGATTGGCAGCCTTCATTATTCCTGCTTGGGACAAATTGGCGTGCCGTTCCAAAATTAGCAACAGAGACTTTACAGGACACCTGCAGAACCTCTGTGGCCAAATCTGGACCTCCTGAAGGCCTCCCTCCGGACCTCTGGCCTTCTGCGGGTCCCTGGAGGGCCATCCCTCCCCCCGGTTCCTCCACCCACCAGTTGCTGGATGGTTTTGTAGTTCTGGTGCGGTTCTTTCCCCATTCTGTAGTGTCTCTCCGAATGCGTCGCTTCTGGCAGAGGGAGCCCTACGCCGCCTAGCACAGGAATGCCGCCCACAAGAACATCTCTGGAATGGAGTTTGGCCCTTGAATTGAGTGAGGGTATCACGGCTGACGTGGCTGCGGTCCCGGAGAGGGGAACGAGGAGAATGTTTCTTTGCACGCCTCATTTCTGGCTCGTGTTGCTCGGAGCCTTTGAGGCTGCTTTTAACACGGAGTTAGCAGCAAGAGTTTTGTTGCTATGTGGTTAATGTGAAATTATACCCCTGTACCAATTCATAATGATAAGGAATCAGCAAGTGGAAATGAGCTGTTACGTGGGAGAGCCGCAGGAAGGTCTGAGCAGGGAGGGGTGGCAGAATATTACTTGGGAAGGTGTGCAAAAGCTTGCTTTTCCTCTAGCTAGGAATAGCCAAAGTGTTTGGGGTGTGGGGGCAAGATGGGGGGGCATCTCCTCATTGGCTGGAGGAGTATTAGGAACAGAGATGCTTGAAACATTAGGCTGACTATTGCCAGGGTCCACCATTTGCAATCCAGTCCAAAAATGGTGGCTGCCAGGTCTTGTTTTCATCTCACCCCTGCTGGGTTGGCTGCTGCTTGACATGGGGAGTCCACTCAAGTCGTGATTAGTTAGGAAGCTCCTGTGGGAACGGAAGTGGAGGAGCATGTAAACTTGTCTGGTGTTGGGTGGAAGTACCACAGCTCCCAGGAGATGGTACAGCTGCTGAAGGAATCCTCCTCTGAGGAGCTGTAGTTCACAGGGACAGCCCACACTGAGGAGCAGGCGATCCAAGGGGTCTTGGGACCATGGTTCCATCCCTGTGAGAAGGAAGGGGCTTCCTTTTTTGCATCTGAGGTAGAGACTGGTTGACCGCCTAGCCTCACCTTGAGTGGCCGGCCAGCTGGGTCCCTATATGGAGGAGCACATGGGCAGAATGAAAGGGCTCATCGGGAGCAAGGCCTGTCACAAACTGGAGCTGAGCCCTGGGTGGGGCTTTGGAAGCTCTGGCAATACAGGCCTGAGGGACCCACATGCCTGTTGCTGGAAGGGTCAACTTCACGCAGCTGCACCTGAACGTCTGTCCTGGCCGCATGACCTCCAGTTGGCTTGGCTTCTTGGGCTGTGTATTGAGTCCGGCTGCTTCCCTCTCTTCTGGCATGTTTCCTTTTGCCTGGTAAAGCTGTGCTTGGAGCATTATCTGTTTATTTACTTGCATTTGAATCGCCCCTCATTTTAGCTGAGCCATGGGAGGGCTCAGCGAGCTCACTGACCTCTGCAGGAGGAAGGCAGGTTGCATCTCAGACTCGCCCGATGGCGCCACTCACTGCAGTGAGCAGACTTCTGGAGTGCTGTCTTTTTCCCTTCCCCACCACCGCAAGGCACCTTCAGTAACATGCCAGCCTGTTCAAAGTCTGCACAGGTCCGTTGCAGGAGTGATTCTGTCGTGATGCAGTGCGGGGCGAGGCCTGCCTCCGCCAACTCTTTCGGGTGAGCCAGCAATGGCAGCGCAGGCTGGTAACGTGAGCTCGTTGGCACAATCTCAAGATTTTAGCATTCCTCCTCCCCCTCCCCGTTTGTTTACATTTTCTGTGCCTTCTGTGGATTATGCCCCATGTGAATTAGCACAAATGGGACAGCTGTTCATTCGTTGGAAGGTCAGGCAGTAATTAAGCATAACATCTTCACATTTCTTGGCCCAGCTATGGGTATTATTCTTAGCAGTGTGCTTCAGGGAATGTTTCTTGCGACAGCCTTTCATCAATTTACGTGCCACAACTTCTGCGAGTGTAGAAGTGTTTTGTGTGTATAAGAGCTAACTCAGTCTTCTTGAACCTGGCATGTTCCAGATGTGCTGTACTACAGTTCCCATTGTTGTTGTTCAGTTGCAAAAGTCACGCCCGATTCTTCATGTCCCTGTGGACAACATTCCTCCAGGTTTTCCTGTCCCATTACTACAGTTCCCATAATCTTTTTTGCAATAAGTGCCATGAAATTGTACCTTTTAATATTTGGTATATTTAGACTGCTGATTATCAATAACATTGATTCTCAGCTTATAAGTAATATACTAATTAGCATTTGGAGAAGGAACATTCTCCTTTTCTAACATATCTATAGCCCTAGCAGAAAAATACTGACCTGGTTTGCATGTTAACCACGGCTTAATGGTGTGTGTCTGGCACCACTTGTTTAATTACCTGCCTGGGTGCAGCTTGTCTTGTCATACAAACCCAGTGACATGACTTGTTGGCGAGGGAAACAACTTCAATCCAGCATCAGATCTTTGGTTATTTGAGGGTTATTTCCTCCTCAAACAAGCCATGCTACCCAGGTTCAGACAACATAACATACAGCTTCCTGGTGGGTAATTAGAAAAATTGTTTAAGCCACATTGATCATGTGAAATGGGCCGATGTGTATTTGGATTTGATTTTCCATCTGAAAAGGCCTTTATTCACTTTACTTTCCAACAGTTCTCCATGAAATAGGGATTCACCTGTCTAATTCACATCCCAGGAATCACTGGGTGAGGGAGTTTTCTCCAGCCTGGAGCCCTCCAAACATTTTGGTCTTGAAAATAAGGATTGTCCTTGGTAAATTGGAAAAAATGAAATTTATCTCTTTTAGATAGAAAAATGTCCACCTATCTATTGATTCAACATGCATTCTCAATAATAATTACTCTTTTTAATTCCATAGAACTCCCAGAAAACTGGACTGATACCAGAGAAACCTTACTGGAGGGCATGCTTTTCAACTTGAAGTACCTGGGCATGACGCTGGTCGAACAGCCCAAAGGAGAAGAGCTCTCTGCGGCAGCCGTCAAAAGAATTGTAGCTACAGTGAGTGCTCATGACCTGGCTTCTAAAGTCTTTAACTTTCCACTGCACCCCAGCTGCCTCTGCTTGCTCCCAGGGGACTCGATTCTTGCATGCATCCTCCATCGCCTTCCAGTGTTTCACACAAACAGGAATGCTGGAGGCATCAGAGACGGATTCAGATAAGTCAAGATTTCTGTTAGTCCTGCTTGCAGATTCCAAAGCTGATGGACCAGCTTTTCCTGAGTTGCAGTGATTCATTAAAATTGTGTGTGTGTGTGTGTGTTTCTGTAATTTTCTGCAAATTTAATTGTAGAAAAATACAAGAAAGTTAAAACAAAAACCGCTGATCCAAAATAGGCATTTCCTGCCATAAACTAAAGTATGAAAGTGCATGCATGGGAGTTGCACATTTTGTGGGGGCACCTTTTGTGGAGGTTTTCACTCTTAGAAGTGCAAATTTGCCGTAATGCGTATGATCACATTTGCACAAAATCTAATTCCGTCAGTCAGCAGATGATGGCTTCCTGGCAATCTGCAGAGCACAATTACAGAACAGCATTTTGAACTCTAGCATGGGACTCTTCTTCCTGTCCAGCCTTGGAGAGGCTTTGAAGGTTTTGCAGGTGGAACTGGAAGTATGTGACTCGCACATCTGTTTTCATAGTTTGTCGTGTCTCAGGTGGAGGTTTGTGGAGCTTTCCCTGCTGTCTATCTGATGCGGGTAGTCGATGTCTCATAAATTTCAAAGAAGGCAAAAACAAGACAGATGATTTTCACCTCCTCTTGCTTAGGCTAATGTGCCCTTTGTTCTCTGAGCCATTATTTCAGGGTTTTCACCTTCTTACACACACACACGCCTGTTATTTCTGCAAATTGGGGGTTCATTGGCCCCCCCAGCTGATACTGCACATGGTCTTTGGAACTAACAAGGTTGTGCACCTGGGTTTAGGCAATCAGGAGAAAGCCTCAGGTTTCTTGCCATCTGCTCTTGCTTTGAACACTCTTCTCTTCCATAACAGCACAAGGGTATGCTCTGTTCTGACCAACATTTGTTTAAACAGGCAAGGATATTGGATGCTTACTTTGCAACTAATACTGACAGATTTGATTAGCCCTTAGTTCTGGTGAATATGTTCAAGATTTCAATCTTAAAGTGATAGTATTGCATACTAATATAGATTAAAAGTAGAGTTTTTTTCCTATTTAAATAGTTGTCTGCCAATTACTCACTTTTAGATTTAAATAAATTTGCTTCCTACCAATATGTCAGCATAGGTGTCTCTGTTTGATGAAATTTACCATTGAATAAACAAAAGCCTTGCATGTCCTGTTAGCTGATCAGGAAATATTTGTTTGTTTGTTTGTTTGTCTATTCTCTCACATTTTCATGCTAGAACCAAAATAAGTTCAGGGACATATGGTCTTAATGCATAATCTTACTGATTAATTGGTGGGGGCAATTTTAATTAACTTACATTTTAGTTGATTAGCATACAAGTTAAACCCAACAGCGCTTGCAGCCCTACTTTTAAATCATAATCTAGTTTCTCAGCTGCTATTTAGAAACATCTTGCTCAAATTGTTTGCCTTCATATTTAGGTGGGTGGATTGAAGTTTTGTGTAGCCTAACCCTACAGAAAGATCAAAGACCTTTCTAGGAAAGAAGGTGTCACGGCTGGGAAGGGCATTGTTTACGTACCCAAAGTTGCATCCTGTGCATGCACGCACGCACACAAGCATGCCGTGTCAGAGAGCCAGTGTGGTGGGGCGGATAAGAGCGTGGGACTGGGACTCAGAGGATCCGGGTTCGAGTCCCCGCTCAGCCATGGAGCCAACTGGGTGACTCTGGGCCAGTCACAGACTCTCGGCCCAACCTGCTTCACAGGGCTGTTGTTGTGGGGATAAGATGGAGGAGATGTAAGCTGCCTTGAGCCCTTTGAGGAAAAAGGCAGGATATCAATCAATCAATCAATCAATCAATCAATCAAAACAGTCTTGAACCAAAGAGGAGGCGGGTACTCTGGGACATTCTGGTGAGAAGTACACATGCACAGAACTTGGGCCACAAAAAGCTGGCAGTGGGACATCGAATAGAGTGGCTGAAAATTTGGACATCGGCCTGCCATGCTGCAAAATTTCGTCACAGGTCCCACTTGTTAACACTTAATTCCAGTACAAGTTTGCTGGGGGAAAACTCACACAAGTAACATTAAAATTCAATAAAACTTCAGTTCGTAAAATAGAATGTAGTCCATAAAATACATAAAATGGTTGCAATTATAGGGAAACAGCCAACATAAAGTGATCATGATTTATAACAGGCTTCTAAACACTAGAATAAAGGAAGCTTTGCAGGTTTTAGTTTAAATCCTTTTTAACATTTTAAAGTTATATTTCTATACTACCCAATAACTGAAGCTCTCTGGGTGGTTTGCAACAATGCAGACCATAAACTACAGTGCAATAAAACACAATATAAAAAATTAAAACTGCCGTGTAAAATAAAAATAATGACCAAACGGGGTCTAGTAGCAGTGTGAAGATTTGGAATAGTTACAGATTTGAAACAGAAGCTGAAAAATTAAAATGCCTGGGGAAATAAGTCCCTCACCTGGCACCAGAAAGGGTGCAACACAGGTGTGAGGTCAGCTTCACTCCACAGCCAGGTTGGCACCACAGAAAAGGGCCTCCTTTTGGCAGCCTCCTACCTCAGTCCCACTTCTGGAGAAGTGACACTGGTCAGGATTGGTATATATGGGAGAAGACCATCCATCAGGCATCCTGGCTCCAAGTTGGTTTTTGCTTTGCATGTACATACCAGCACATTGAATTGGGTCCGGGACTGGACTGATAGCCATTCAGATCGAAAAGTACTGGTATAATAAGATCATGTCAGCCAGTCCCAAAAAAACCTCTGGCATCCTATTTTATTTATTTATGTATGTATTTATTTATTTATGGATTTATCTCCTGCCTTTTTCCTACAAAGGGCTCAAGGCAGCTTACATCTCCTCCTCCATCTTATCCCCACAACAACAACCCTGGGAGGTAGGTTGGGCTGAGAGACTGTGACTGGCCCAAAGTCACCCAGTTGGCTCCATGGATGAGCGGGGACTAGAACCCAGGTTATCTGAGTCCCAGTCCCATGCTCTTAACCACTGCACCACACTGGCTTCCAGTTGGACTGGTTGATGTTTCTGAAGCATTTCCAAGGCAGTCCCATGGATAACAGGTTGGAGTAATCCAGGCAAGAGGTTACCAGAACATGGATAATTGTGTAACTAGGTTACCTCTGTCCAGTTAAGGATGTAGTTGGGCTAAGGAGATCAAAGGTGCTCTGTTTCCTGAGTTCGCTTGTGCCTCTAATGGCGATGTGGGATCCGAGAACACCCTCAGACTGCAAAGTTGGTCCTTTAAGATGAGTGCAGACCCTCAGAACAGCACCCACAAGCTGGGATTCCAGATCAGTAGTTCATCAGTCTTCATCATCCTCAGCCAGGATTGGTCATGGTGGCTTGAGCTGCAGGGCACTGTAGATTGTCCTTCTGCTCCTCAGATTTCAGATGGAGAATTGTCCCTCATCATCCTCGCAGCTCTGTTTGCATGGCTGACAACCAACTGTCCGATGAACATTCGGACAACTGAGAATAGAGATGCACAGATTTGGTTAAATTCATTGAGTCTGAGTTGTCAGGCATCTTTCATTTAATCCTCTGCTGATTGATAGAATCAGATTTTTGTATACAAGAATGCAATTATTTCCAAATGGGCACTTGTGCTAAGCCCTCTCCCCACCGGTTTAAAAAAATGGTCTGCAAGATTATGTGGCTTGTTTAAAGCAAGTCTGCTATAGAATATGCTGGGTGGATTCACAGAAATCCAGTCTGATTTGAATCTGATGAGGATTTTTCTGACATCCCTAGTGGGGAATAACAACTTTCGTGTATGAAGGTGGAGCCTAAGCAGGGAGAGAACTTTTGCACACAAAAAGTTACCCTCTTTGAAACAGGTCTCCTAGTCTGGCTAGTAATTCATGCTAGTGAAATGTGGGGAGCCGCAACAGGAGGAAGGCCGTACTGCAAAGTAGCACAAACAAGGCTTCCTTCAAGAAGAGTTGTTCAGTCGGCATTCATTTTTGCTCACTCGAAATGTTTGCCTGCATGGATGCTGAGCAATACACTCAGTTTGTTAATGGTTAATGTGAGTCCGTTAAATAATACAATCTTCAAGTGGATTTATCTCAGCCAGCCTCACAAAACATATGGGATGCTTTTTTTTCTTTCCAAAGGCAAAAGCAAGTGGTCGAAAACTGCGGAAGATAACTCTGAAAGTGTCTCCCAGAGGGATAATCCTCAGTGACAGCACAACAAATGAGCTGATTGAAAACATTTCAATATACAGGTATGTCTCCGTGCATTTTTTAAAGATGCAGAGTAAGCTTTTGAGGCCTGTTACTGAGGATGCTCTGTCCAGTACTCTGCTGCCAAAAGTATTCACCCCTTTGGCTGTTCTGAGCATGCGAGTCTTCTCTTTAAATCCCTTCTCTGGCTTCCTGTGGATCCCTGGATCCTGTGTAGACTTCCCATCCTTCCAACGCCTGTGCGGCTTTGCCCCTCTCAACTCTGCCCTGCACATTTCTTTCCGGACACACTCATCCTCTGCTCCCCAAAGTTCTCCCTCTTCACCTGTTTTCCATTGCTGCCCCTTATACCTGGGACAGTGTCCTATAACACTGCTCTCCTTTCCATCTTGAGCCTCTTTCCAAAGCTCACCTTTTCTTGGATGCCTCTGGAATGTTCTCTAGCTTGGAGGAGAACTAGGGGATGATTCACCTGCTTGGGTTCCCATTCCAGGCCTCCAATTAGTGCTAAAAATTCTGGTGCCTAACATTTGCAAAACCCAATGGATAGATAATAAATTAGCAACAGCAATTCTATAAAACTGTTCTTATATGAAGGCTCTGGAGAACAAATGGATCAGGCTCCTCGGAGAAGCTTGTTAGCGAGGCTAGTAAGCATTGTAAGATACTGGTACTGGTATCTTCAGTGCTGTCTCCACACCTTTGGAGCATCCTTCCTAAGCCATACACACCTTCAGCCTCATGACTGCCACTTTTCAAAAGAACCTTGAAGATGTTGCTTCAGCATGTGTGTGTTTAATGTGCAGAGCTTTGAGGAAAAAAGTGTTTTGCTGCTATATTTTTTGGGGGGAAAATGGATTGTTCTTGAAAGTATAATTTGTTGTATTTAATTAATCTCTTGTGGTATTTCAGTGTGCTTTTGAAAAAATAAATTCTGTAAATGAACTTGTGAGGGCATTGAGCCATGAAAGTTGGACTAAAAATCTTTTTAAATCACTACTTGCATGGATATTGCTCTGGCTGAGGCTTCTTTTCTTTTCTTTTCTTTTCTTTTCTTTTCTTTTCTTTTCTTTTCTTTCTTGTAGGCAGTAAAGAGCAGTCCTTTGCACATGCTGGGAATTGTAGGCCCTTTTTCTGCCTAAACATGCATAGGCTTGTGCCCTTAGTTGCTCAGCTTAGAAAAAAGTGAGGAAAGACAGACATGATAGATGTGTAAAATTATGCATGGCGTGAGGGAGTCATTTTTCTCCCTCCCTCATCATGCTAGAACCCAAAGGAATCATCCCATTGGAGCTGTTTCATGGGAGACTCGAGAGAGCTATAAAGAAGTACTTTTTCACACAGCACAAAGTTATACTATGATTTTTACTACCATCAGAAGCTATGATGGCCACCAACTTGGATGGCTTTAAAAGGGAATATTGAAGTGGGTCGAACTCTAGCCAAGTACAGCTGCCTATATGTTTTTCCCCCTGACAAATGCACACAAAATAACACCCATACATGCTCCTTTTATTTACGGTAGAAATTGTGCTTTTACTCCTTCCTTAGGTCCTGAGCTCCTGTTTAAGCCATTTTACTGTAACTGTTCCAGAAGCATATCAGTGATGGGTTAAGAATTAAGGGAATCCCTTTGTTTCTGTAGTGACCTCTATTTAGGTTCCCATTGCTAGGTTATTTAGAAGTAAAGCAGTATTTCACATAAGAAAGGAGAGGGACTAGATAAATTTATTGAGAATCAGATTATCAATGGCAGCGGCTCATAACAGCTGGCTGTTACCTCCAGTATCAGAAGCAGTCTATCTCTGCATGGCAGCATGAGGAGGAGGAGGAGGAGGGTGCTCTTGTGTTCTTGCTTATGGGCTTGTCCAGGGTGTCTGGTTGGCCACTCTGAGAACATAATACTGGTCTAGATAGGCGTTTGACCTGATCCAGCAGTCTCTTCTTGGGTCCTCATGTTACTAGCTACTCCCTGAAGTCAGGCAAAGTACCCAATTCCCTTTCACCCCCTTGCTTTCTGCTGTTTTGGACTTGAATGCAATCCTAATAGTAAGAAAGGTGTATTGGATGGGCTTCTCCAAAAACATGGCAAGGAAGTTATTAAGGTCCAGCAGGTAGTGAAGGGACCTTTCCCAGTGTTCACATCCCTTGTTGAAGGTATGCTGAGGTTTCATGGTCTTCAACTTGTTAGGAAGAGCACCCTGAAGCTGCTTTCCCCAACCATTTGGTAGATAAGGGCTGCTTTTGCTGTGAGAACAAAAACTGTTTGCCTAACTGGAGCAGCTTCATGACTCCTGCCCTTGTTTCCCAAGATGTAGGGGAACAAACTGTGCATGCTGGCAGGCTGTACAATAGTGGGAAGGAGGCGCTTTATAAAAACCATGGCAAGAGATGTTATCGTTTGTTCTTGGCCTAGGGAGCAGAATTGATGGTGTGTCAGACAACTTTGAATGTTTTCAGAACATCCTTTGGCCTAGTGAGGGAACCAATGTGGTTGCCGAGAAGGGGGAGTGTAAGCTTTCTTTCCTGTGTGATATTCTGCATGCATATTGCGGCATTGTATTTGGTAAGCTGTAAATCACCTTTGACACAAGTAGCCTTGTTTCTCCCCAAGTATCACTGAATCTAAAGTGGGGTGCCGCAGATGCACCCAGAAGGGGAGAGGAGCTTGCATTGCGGAACATTAATGAAGAATGATGATCTTCATTAATGAAACATGGGATGATCACCTTGCAAGAACATGAATGATAAATGAACAATGATCTTAGTAGGCACCGAGTGTGATGACTTCTTCCGTATTCCAGAAGACGTAGAGAATAAGTATTTATGTTGTTATATTGTGATCTGGCTTTGCGGCAAATATTTTTCCTAAGGCATTTCTTTCATCAGTCAACAGTTCAATACAGCTGTGGTAGCAGGCGCTGTACATCAGTGAAAAATGAGGCACAAGCCCTCCCCCAGGTCTGTGAACTGAGAAATAGAGATTGAGACGTGAGGAAAGAGGGAATATATTCAGAGGGATAGCAGGTGTTGCAACAAAAACAGCAGAGAGACCTGTCACTGTTAGCAAACTTACACTGCTATGAGATTTTTTGGGTTCCATGCTCATACGAATGAAGCAGTTGCTGTGAACCATGCATACAGATGGGAATCTCTCGAGCTGAGAGTTTTGGGGTAGAATCCCATGCTTGTTTAGACAGGGAAAAGGCCTATAATTCTCAGCATGCTGTAGACAATGTTGTAGCCTCTTTCCTGTCTAAACATCCTTCCAAGCTGGGCTCACTTGCGCGCTCTCGCTGCAGCAGCAGCGTTAAGTGCAAGGAACGGCCAAGAAGGACCCGTTTGGGGCTGCAGCCACGGCCCCCATAACCCACCAGAAGGGGTGGGGGAGCAGAAAAGGCCGGTTTGCCCCAGCAGTTCTGGGCAGATGACTGCAGGTGCTTAGAAAGGATGCATGTAGCTTTGTTTTCAAGCTGCTACAGCAAGAGCAAATCCCACTGTGGGTAGGCCATTTGGTGGAGTAATTGGACCACAGGTTCCCACAGGCACAGTTGCCGCTGCCTCAAAGCCGTCTCTGTCCCGTCCTGTTTGAGAAGGCAGTGCTGAACAGCATTCTCATTTCTTCCCTCTTTCTTGTTTACTTCCTGTGGTCTACTTTATCTTCCTCAGTGTGGCCTCATTTGACTTTTGCATTAGATCTCCGGAGTATTCATTTGCTGGTAAGCCTTTTGGTTTATGTAGCCTTCTTGGGTGCTTCTCGTCAGGAAATGCTTGAAGTGCCGGCAAGTTAAAGCACGCCTTCTGCCAGAGGGTTGTGTGGCAACGAAACAGCCAAGAATCCTGTAGCGTCTCAAAGCACTGCACTTACTTATTTATTAGATTTATATCCCACTTTTTTCTCTTAAAGAACACCAAGCAGCTTACATCATTCTCCTCCTTTGTTTTCCTGAGCTTGAGTCTGTTGCATTCGATTTGTGAAAGAAAACGTTACATTCATGGGCAAACAGCCATGTACGCATCCCTCAGCAGAGAGAGGCTAAAGCAGGAGGGTGAAGTGGCTTGAAATATAAAAACAACACTCTGACAATTGAATGGAAGCTGAAAGGGTATGGAAAAATAAGCACAGTGGCTCTGCACGGGGCAGTGCTTAGCACTGCTGAGCTAATTAACACCTGTAATAGGACAGGATATGAGCTGGATTGATTCCATCAAGGACAAGGCAATTTGGAGGGCATCCATCCCCACGGTCGTCATTCGTCAGATATGACTTCATGGCACGTGATCACAAATAGGACAGGATGAAACCATCCTCTGCCATAGAACAAAATGGTGAGATATCAGTAGACATTTATACCCGGTTGTGACCAGGGCTTCTTGGGAACAGGTTTGCTGCGCTGTCTGTTTTCCTTTACGGCTTTAAAATTGGCACAATAAGAATGACGTGTCTTGCTGGGAACCTGCCCTGATATTAAGATTTGTGGCATCAGCCTCTTTGAGGAGGCCATTGCTGTCAGAGAATTATTTCTCAGGCACGCATGAAAGGGCCTTCTTCTGTGTTATCCACAAACTATGTCGTGTGATCCTTCAAGAAGTATGATTTATGGAGAGCCAGTGTGGTCTAGTGGTTAACAGCATGGGACTGGGATTCTGGAAACCTGGGTTCTAGCCCCCACTCAGCCATGGAGCCATAGAGCTTAGCAATAACGTTTTCCATTGACTTCGGGTGATCCGGAGCAAGGTGCAAATTAAAGAATTTATTTTGAGATTATGTGGCTGAGGAATTAATTTTTGCTAGGTTCTCAGTATGCATCCATTTGTGCTGTGCTGCCCCTGCAAAGCCAGTGCTGGAAGCTCAGAAGTGCCGTTTGGGCGTCGGTTAAGTGACTCTCACTGGTAGCAGAATCAGACCTGGGGGGAAATAAATGTAAATGAAAAGGAGTAAGGGCTGTGGGGACAAGGTGAAGAGAAGGTGAAGGTGAAGAGAAGCTGTGGGGACAAGGTGGATGCTGCAGTGCCATACCCTGGGATCCTGGTTGGAGGA